AACAGTGCTAAAATGTCTCAACATTCAGTGTAAATATTTTTTCTATAGTAAATATTAAAGGGACAACTATTTGAAGAATTTTACCTAGCTTTCCAACAAGAATGAGTCTCTGTTAATTGTCTCTCTGGATGTGAATTGCTCATAGTGAACAATTTGAGTTCATATTTTACATGTTGAAATATACTGACCATTGGTATTTGGAGCTGAGAGTGTGTGGAGAACCCAGAGGCCTCTCTGGTGATTCGAATCCACCAGCGACTCTGCAGGAGAGAGAGAGTCTCCTCCCATGAAGGTTATAGTCTGAAAACCTGTGAGGAGAGTCTGCTAAAGTAGTGTAAAATGGAAACAAAGGCGCATTCTGGATTTGACAATTAGGAGGTTGCTGATGGACCAACGGAGAGATGTTTCAGTGGAATAGTGAGGTTGGGAGCTGCTTTCCTTGGGAGGAGGAATAAAAGTATTCTGTAAGTATTAACAGGTGGGAGATTTGGGATATAAACATGAGAAGTGTTGGTGATAGATACAGTCAGAAAGTTGAAGGAAAATGGTTTTGGATCAGTGTGATTTGAGCCTTTTTAAAAAGGGAGGAGAAAAGCCCAGTGGAATAGGAGGGGGAAGATGCTGGTGGTGTATGGAATAAGAATACTGAGAAGATGAGATGGGAGAACCCATCTGTCAGGTGGAGAGCACCCTCACCTGAGCTGATAAGAAAGGTGAATGGTGGTGAGTGGTCAGCAGCATGTGACCCTGGGTTCTGTCTTCCTTTCATAGGAAAAGGTGTCTTTGTTTCTTCCTCCAGCTTTTTGTGTGTATTTTGTAGGTTTTCTGGTGACAGATTGTCATGGCTTTTATTTGTTGTGTTAAAGGATATTTTTTGACAAGGGTATGTTCTAGGATGACGTTTGTTTTTTGGGGTTTGTTGTTTTTGTGTGTTTTTTTTCCTTTGAGCCTAGTTTCTGTTACCTTTTGAAGAGTGCCGTCTTTTGGCAGGCACCTCATTTCCTTGTGGCTCCGTTTTATCCTTTTAAGACTTGTCTTTAAGTTACTTTAGTGGAGCTCTACTTGAGGGCTCAGAACTACGGCTTTCTGCTAAGTGAGGGCTTTCTCGGGTCCCTCCCAGGGCCCCAGGTGCTATGGGAGGCCTCTGACTCAGCTGGTCACACCAGGAAGATCTCCCAGCCCTGAAGCCCTGCATGCCTTCTGGGTCTCTAGCTTGCTCCCTGCCTTGTTCTCTCCCTGGCTGCTAGGGTGCTGCCTCCTGGGCAAAGACTCTGGGGCCCACCTGCAGATATCTGGAGCCGTTCTCTGGGTAGCTCCCTCCTTTTCAGGTCCTCTGCCCCACAAGTTCGAGCCACCTCAGTCTCCACTGCCTCTTCTAGTCAATAATAGGTAATGTCCAATGGGTCCCTTTCCCTTTGCCCAGGGTGTGGCAAATGCCTCTAGGTTGTAAGCCAACCCTATTGAAAGCCCATTTTATGTGCTGTTCTTTCCAGGGACCTCACAGTCTGCTCTGTTTTGCCCAGAGCCTACAATTTTGACCCTAAGTTTCTTTTTTTGTTAAAAATAAACAATTGATATTTACTTTGTCACTTGGTAATCCACAGTGTGTATTAACAGTGGGGTTCTGTCAAAGGCTATTATTTGCAAGACAACAGTGCAGAATAAGAGCTGCATAATAAAACAGATTAGGATGGGGATGGGGAATTGTACAACAGTGAAACTTTTTCCCCCCCCCCAAGAGAAAAGTGAACTGGGGCGGGGACAGGGAGGAAATGTGCAACAATGAATGAATGGAAACCTAAGTTTTCTATAAACTTTCATTAAAATCTCAATTATAAAAAAAAAATTTCCAGCATGTAGTTTGTGGGCAGCCTGCCCTAGAATTGAGTAGGTCCAGCTCCACATCCTCCAAATTAAGTTCTGTGTAATTCCCACACATTTTAATCAATGTGAACAGATGTTTTTTTCACTAAAGTTTGAGAATTGTTGATGTATCGACTAATCTCGGTCCTTAGCAAGGAGAAATTACTACAACATTAACCACAGTGATAAAAGTCCACAAGCACCAGGTGTTTGTAAGGAAGTGGAATAAGAACTCGTGTCAGCGTGAACGAGACCATGTCTGTGGTATAGGCACCTGCCCTTGAACCTGGTAGTTGTGCTTCTGGTTCTGTGTTTACAGGGAAGTACACTGCAACGCCAGTCGTTCGGGTCCATCATGGCACTTGTGGCTCATGGGAACCCTCCGTATAACAGGATGGAGCACTGCCTGGGCTCACGCCAGCCTCAGAATATTAGGCATGTTTATGCCCGCTCCAGCCACTGTGTCCGTCTTACTGAGGGTCTTCCTCTTGATAACCTACTAAACTACCAAGCACGATGTTCAGGGCTCGATCCGTCCTGACAAGATTTCCAAAGACGTTGAGACCAAGTCTGGCCACCTCAGATCAGTGGCCAAGGAGCAGTCTAGCCATGTGTTCTCTGAGACCCGTTTGCTTATTCTTCTGGAAGTCATGGTGTGTTCTGTATTCTCTGCCAACCACAATCCAAACACATCACTGTCTAACTGTGACAAGTATATGAGTCAAGCACACTTTAGTTATCAAAGTGACTGGCATCTTTGATTTTTTAATAGTAGCATATTTTAAACTATTGCTGACAGACAGTCAATACACACTTGGCACTAGCCATCAGAGGATTAGGAGACACATTGTGCTGGCAAAGTCTGCAGTCAGAGACCACTCCAAATTACTGAGGAGCAATGATGTTAGTTTGAGGACTGAGGTGCGCTTAATTCAGACCATGGTCTTTTCGAGCACTTGCTGTGCTGCTGAGAACTGGACAGTGCTGAATAAAGATGACGGAAGAAGAATTGATGCCTTTGAACCGTGATGTTGGAGAAGAGCACTGAACGTCCCATGGACTGCCAAAGAACAAAGAGCTATGCCTTGGAGAAGATGCAGCCAGATCCTTGGAGTCAAGGATGGAGAAACTTTATCTTGCATATTTTGAGCACGTTGCTAGAAAAGGGTTTTTCTTGGAGACAGAATCATTGTGCTTGAAAAGATGAGGGGATGGCGAAGGAGAGGAAGACTTTGAACCCAGTGGATCGACACAGTAACTACAGACAGAGATGGACTAGAGTGTGTCAGAGACTGTGAGGGTGGCACAGCACAGGACAGGGTTCAGATCCATTATAGGGTCGCTCTGAGTCATAACTCACCTCAGCGGCACTTAACAACAACATCTGAAGTAGTCAGTGAAAAGAAGCCAGGGTTTGACTTGTCATTTGTAGTATACTACTCATTGTTTGCGAATTAAATGCTGTGGTGGTATTTACTCACAGCCAGAGATTCAGATTGACTCCCAGCGATCCTGCCCTGGGCGTCTGAGGCCGAGCAGGTGATAAATGATGATGGAGGAGATTGCCTGTCTTTCTCCAGGAGTTCCCAGTGCATTCAGACAGCAGGAGTCACACAGCCTTTACGTTATCAGCACAACCTGTACAGACGCACAGGGGTTGATTCTAGAAGCATCGCCAGGTCTGTCTCTAAGTGTTTCTGGATGGGCTTGAACTGCCAGCCTTTTTTGGTCAGTAATCAAGTGCTTAACTGTTTAACTATTCGATGCAGGTACTCAAGACTATATAGGTTATCATACATGTGATTACTGTAATACGTAGTAAGGAGCTTTGGTGGCACTGTGTTTAAGGCATTTAACTGCTGACCAAAAGGTTGACAGTTCGAATCCACCAGTCATTGTTACCTAAAAAAGATGAGGTAGTCTGCTTCAGTAAAGGATTATGGCTATGTAGCCACATGGGTGAACAGAAATGCAGTTTATTGAGCCCAGGAAACAGGTGGCTGAAGAGTACATGTACCATCTTACCATTTACTTGTGATGTTTTTGAAGATAATAAAAATAACTTTAGGAGGAGGGGAAGAAATTCAGGGAAGGGCACTCTTGACTGTTCCCGCCTTGAGCTGGGCAGGCATGTGGGAATATTATAGGTCTCGTTCCAAACCCCCACAATCCAGCAGATCACACGAGTGGCCCGATTTTCCGCTGCATGTGAGTTGTTTTTACCAGACTGTAGTCTGTTAAAGACTGGTGTCCCTGTGGCCAAAGTGACTATTAACCAAAGAGCTGGCCATTCCAACAGACCCTCGGCCCTGTGTGCAGAGAGGACGAGGCAGTCCTCTTCCATGAAGGCTAGCGGCCGTGGGGACCCTGTGAGTCTGAATGAACTTGCTGGCAGGGTTTAGTTTAGCGTGGATGAGTAATCTGAAACATGTGAGAGCATCATGAAGAGGTTTAAAATACTGTGAAAATCACCACCGTGTGACACGAAATGAGCACACGCGGTGGGAGAAGTGGGATGGTGCTGATCACGTTGCATGACGCAGGGTGTGAAGTGAACTGTAATAAAATGAGGTGCATGTTCCTGCAGTGTGTTTTCGTCTTCTATGTCCAGAGTATTGATATATTCTTTTAGAAAGTTGGCAGGCGCCTGAGGCCACTGATTTCACTGTAATTAATTATCCTAACAAAGTTCTTCAGGGACCGTGAGGATGGCGCAGGATAGGGAGGGGCCAGGCCTGCTGTCCTGGGTGGCGCTGACACCTGACAGCAGTGACACAGCACTTCACTGGAGAGAAGACATTTTTTTTCCTCTTCCTTGTTTGACAAAGCTCTTTATTAGAGATAATCTGGTTTCCCCCTTCTTGTTTAGCAAAGTCTTCTTCTCCAGATAGAATTTCCCTCCCCATCTTCCTGCTTCGACAAAGTGTTATTCATTGGAGATAATCTCAATTTTTTTTTTCCCTCTTCCTTGTTTGCAAAGTCTCTTTTCTATCTTCTAGTGATGTTGAGATGATCTTTGGTCCTGTTCCTTCTCTCTTTCACCCTTTATTTAAAGTAAATCCCCTAAGTCATTCTGAATCCAATGTAGACACTATCCCCCTCAAGTTTCTATAAATGTCCTTTCTCCTCCCCGGCAGGTGTTCACGACGCTGTCGGTGACCAAGCGCTCCGGGGGAAGCATCCTCCAGGCTGGCTGCTGAGGTTAAGCCCCGGTGTGGATGCTGCTGCCAAGTCTTCCTTGCCCGCCTCCACGGCGAGGTTCTCGGGCAGGTCCTCGGGCCCTCAGCGCCAGCGTGTCCTGCGCCAACCATCTGAGGGCACCTTGCCTCTCCGGGCAAGTGAGCGGAAGGCAGCCAGCATCACACTGGGGTCACCCTAACGGACTGGAAGCTGACGTCGGCAGTGCATCGAGGGATGCATCCATGAAGTCACCAGCCGCAAGCCCACGGGGCAGGCAGTGATGGAACAACTGTCGGATCAGCTTCAGCGTGAACTTTCCTTTGCGGACTCTCTGATCTGTGTCAAGCTTCCTAATGTTGATTCTGTGTTACAGTCAGTTTTCACGGCGAGGCTAGAGTATGCAAGTGAAGCGTCTTTTTGCGTGGGCAGAGTGCTCCAGCCCCCTGCGGGTTACACAGGTTTGTCATCGGAACTCCCTGCCGTGTGCTTCCCGGAGTAGAACGTGCTGGCCCCTTTGCTGACCCTGTTTTTACTAAGTTCTAGCTGTGTCCCTGTGTCTCAAACAGGCAGATCTATGAATGGCCTTGCCCAGATTTGCCTGTGCGTGCTACCTTGCAGTAATGCCCACTCTTTAGGGGGTAGCACGGCACACGTGACTTCAGGATGACTTCAACGTCCTTATGAGTCACCGTGGAGAAGGAGCAGGCACCCTGTCTCACCTGTACCGGGTTGGTCCGGTGAGCCGAGTCCCTGGCTCTGGAACCACATGCCCAAGCCTCAACCCGGGACCTTTAGACTAAAGCACAGCACAGCCCTTCTTTCTTTTTCATGCACACTACGTATCTGTGCCTTTCTGAAAACCTCCGAGGAAGAGAAGTCTTTCCACATGTAGGATTCAATCTTTTGTGACAATTGCTCTTTAAAAGAAGCTCTTCATACCATAAGTTATTGTTGTTACTGCTTTTGAACACAGGTGGATGTGAAGGATTTTTCATTCATAAAAAAGCAAATGGTTTTGAACTTTCTCTGTTGAAAGTACAAATGTGCCTGGTGGCGTTTCGGGCAGCATGTTTATGTTTTGGTTGCCTTCCAGCTGGTATTCTAAAGGGTGTTCACGCCCTGGATGTGTCTTGTTGGTGCAGGCGTGCTGACCGAGCATCACAGCTCAGCAGTCTTCTGATTGGAGGTTGGGTTGTGGAAGGGCTGGGAACACTCAGGCCCCCCACCAGCACTACTTGTAGCTCCTGGTCCCTCCCTCCCACTGCGTGTTAATTCCCTGCAGTGGCACCGAGTGGATGTTTCAAAGGACATTTCTGAGCCACCTTCAGACCGGCAGCGGAGCACCGCCCGGCCCCACAGCCCTCTGCCTCCCCTCCCATCCCACCTGCTTAAACGAAGAAGCCCGGAGGTTTGAGGCAGCTGTGATGAGTTTTCTTAGTATTACTGGTTTTTGTTATTTGTTAAAAAAGAAAGAAGTCATATCCTCCCACCCCAAGTCCAACCATCTCTGAAGTCAGACCAGGAGGCAGTGTGAGGTGGCCTCACCTCATCATGTTGTGAGCCTCTTTCCGCAGTAAATGAACCTTCTCCCCACCCCCAGGAATAGCTTTACAGACTTCTGTTCAGATTCTGTAACCGCCCGAGATACTGAAATCTGTACTGTATTCCATGTATTTTGATTAACAAATCTGGGGTGAAAAAAAATGTGAAACATTAAAAGATTATTCATTCCATCCGGTGTCGCTTGTTGAATGATGTGCTGGGCTTCTCCACACGGGTGTTGAGTAGACTTCAGTTCTGTATGGAAGGTAGTAGGAACCATCTGCTGAGTCAGCATCCGGCGGGCAGCGTCTGGAGGTGTCACAGTTCAAACACCTTGGCTGGCTCTTCAGATGTGTCAGCTTGTCCTCATGTGACCCATCAGCCTTGGTTTTTGGGTAACAGTGCTGCCTGTGTCTTCTGATTTCCTCTCTGGGAGTGGCGGGGGTGGGTGGGGTGTAGCTGTGACTTTGTCTCGGCTGTTTTCACACAGAAACTTCAGGGGGACTGACAAGGCTTCTTCCTCTCTGAACTGAGCATTCATTCTCAGGGTATAAACGGGTTCACAGCCATCCCTAATTCCCCAGGCCCTGACAGTCTCAGGCACATGGTAGATGCTTGCGACACGTTTACATAAATGGCCCACTTGGAGTATTCATCCACAGGCACTTGATTTTCTTGTGCACGGATCATTGAGCAGGAACTTTGTGGTAATCCTTCTCAGAGCGCTTTGCAGAGTATCTCTTGAACCCCTCGCTAGCACGTGCTGGACATTGTGGCCAATACACACTGAATAACTTCGTTTTGATGCAAAACAGTCTGTGAGGAAGGCGCTTCTGCCTGTTTTTGAAGAAACTGGCTTAGCCGTGAGTCACTGGCCGAGGACTACCCTGTGGTTTAGTGACTCGGCAGGTTTCTACAACCCTGGGTGAGGCTTGTGACTTCAAAGGCCCAGCCTCCTAGACACTTGGACTGCTGACTCACACAGTGCCTGGGACTCGCTGTTTACATGCCACTGAGCGTTGCTGCTTGTGTGGCTGGTAAAGGCTTCGTCAGAGATTCTTAATGCTTCTCCTAACTGGTCTTTGTTTACTCCTACACTGTAGCCTGGGCTTTAGTGCTCAGTACTTGCCTTCCTTCATACAGTCAGGGTCTTCCCAGGCCTATGGGTCCCTGCCAAACAGCTCACTGCCTGCTGCAGCCACTTGTTTTCACTCTTCTATCCCCAGGTAACTTTGTGCATCTAACCCAAAGGTCATGCCTCTTAGGCGTTTGGATTCAGCACGGCAGGAGAAAGATGGGAAATCTCCTCCCTGGCAATGTACAGTTTCAGAAACCCACTGGAGGGTCAGTTCTGAGTCAGTTCCCACTCCACAGTGACGTCTTAACCTCAACTCATTGCCCTCAAGTCAGTTCTGATTCTTAGATGACCCTCCAGCAGGTTTTTAAGGCTGTGAGTTGTACAGGAGGAGAGAGGCCATCTTTCTCCCATAAAGTGGCTGGTGGATTCAAACCACTCGAGACGTGGAGCTTTGGATTAACAGCTGAACTCTAGGGACTAGACCGCCGAACGTTCCACTCCTGTTGTTAGATGCCATCGGGTCAACTGTGACTCGGAGCAACCCTGTGGACAACAGCTCTGTCATCCTCCTGCCCAGCCCCATGTCCTCCTCATTTCTGCCACACTTCAGCCATGTTTAAGGTCACTGTGTCAATCCATCTCACTGAGGTTCTTCCTCTCCTTTGCTGAGCGTGATGTCCTTTTCCAAGGGCTGGCCCCTCCTAGCAACATGCCCAAAAGTATTTGAGACAATAGTTTTCTTGTAAAAGTCTCAAGTTACATAGTACTCTAGAAAGCAACTCAATCTGTGTTATGCAGATGGCACTACCTTGCTTGCAGAAAGTGAGGACTTAACGTGTTTGCTACAGACCAAGGAACGTAGCCTTTAGTATGGATTACATCTCAGTATCAAGGAAAAAAAATCTTCACCACTGGGTCAATAGGCTGTTGATGATTGTTGGTGGTTGATGATTGTTGTTATTGAATGCTTTTGTGTCACGTAAGACTCAGTGACCAGATGAACCACAGACCTGAATCCTGCCCTAGCCTATGCCATCCTCATCATTTCTGAGCCCATCCCTACAGTCACTTTGCCAGTCCATCTCCTTGAGGGTCTTTCACTGTTCCTCCACCTTTCATGATAGAGAAAAGAATAGAAATTGTCAAGTATTTCATCTTATTTGGACCCACTATCAACAGCTCCACTTGCAGGCTCCCTTAAACGTCAGCTGGCTTCTGAGTCTGTAATCTTTTTAGGAGGAGATGTGGCATCTTTTTCCTGAGAAGCAGCTGGTAGATTCAAACCATCAACTTTCTGATCAGCAGCCCAGCATGTAACATGCTACACCACCAGAGTTGCTTGGCACAGTGGAGGTACGTAAAAATTCACGTGCCTGCTACGAAGATGGCGCCAAAATTGAAGAAGGAAGCCCCTGTTCCTCCTGAAATTGAAGCCCAAGCAAAGGCATTAAAGGTCAAGAAGGCAAACCTGAAGAGCATCCACAAGAAAAGGAATATACGCACTTCACCCGCCCGAGACTCCGAAGGCAGCCCAAATATCCTGGAAGAGCGCCCCCCCCCCCCCCAGGAGAAACAAGCTTGACCACTATGACATCATCACGTTTCCCCTGACCACTGAGTCAGCCATGAAGATAAAGGATAACATGTCAAGGCCAACTAGCACTGGATCAAACAGCCTGTGAAGAAGCTCTATGACATTGATGTGGCCAAGGTCAACACTTTGATTAGGCCTGATGGAGAGAAGGCCTATGTTCCCCTTGCTCCTGACTATGATACTTTGGATACTGCCAGCAAAATTGAGATCATCTAAACCCAATCCAGCTGGCTAATTCTAGATATGTTTTTCTCTCACACACAAATTCTTTTAAGTACATTGGTAAGTTGGGAGCTATTGGACTAGAAGTGAGCACATAGGGGGTCCTGTAACCATTTCCTATTACATGAAGAACCTGATTCAGGTGTTACTAGAGTAGAAAAGGCAGTACGTTACTGGAGAGGAAGATTTAACAGTTAATTAACACACAAAAATGGTCAACTTTCACAGCAGCAAATAGATGGAAACAATCTAAATGCCCATTGAGAGATGAATGAATAAAAATGTGGTCCCTATATGGCCTACTATGACGCCAGTGTAGTGAATTGTCAAAAAATGTTCTACTGAGTCCAATCACAAAAGGATAAGCATATCTCCTCCCTTTTCTAAAAGAACGTGTAAACACTAAGGTTCGTTGGTGGTTACAAGGAAAGGAGGGGTAATTACTCTCTAGAAAGACAGTTGTTACTTCAGGTGATGTGAGATGTGAGAGGTAACATAAAATGTTAAGTGAAGTATGCATAATTTGTCAGGAACTAGGGATGTTTTTGGTAAGTGCAACAACTGAAAACTGAGTGTGGTTATATATGTAGGTATGCATGATTGTGA